CTCTACGTGCTCACCAACCCAGAAGCTCTCCGAACCCTGTCCTTTTGGGTTTTTACGGAAGCTTCATTACATAGGCATGATGGATTACATCATTGGCCCTTGACGACTGAACTCCATCTCTAGCCCCTCTCCCCTCCCCGGAGCTGGGGTTGGAGTGGGACTGAAAGTTCTAACCCTCTAATCACATGGTTGGCTCCACTGGCAACCTGCCCCTATCCTTAGGTGCTTTCCAAAAATCACTTCATTAACACAAAAAAAAGACACCCCTCCTCTTCATTTAGGAAATTCCAAGGGTTTTAGGAGCTCTGTGCCAGAAACAGGACAAAGACCAAATATATATATTTCTTATTATAAATCACAATATCACAACTGTCTCTCCCCACTTACAAAGGTTGTCTGATCAAGTTAAAATTCTGAAGAATTTCAACAGCCTATTTAACTCTAACTGAGAGAACCCAATCTCCTGCTATGGGCACAAGAAGGAAGATGCATAAGTTTCTTGGAAGCGCAAGTTACCATCTTCACAAACTGCAAGGCCAGATTAGGCTTTAAATCTGAAGCTAAAGCCATTGCACTCCAGCCAGCCTGAAAGGGACCACTAAGCAATACCTCAAAAACTAACCATGAAGAACAAATAAAAGCAACAATCTCTGAACATCCCTTGGGTCACCACTGAGAGAGACTGGCTAAGAGCAAGGTCATCCAACACAAGAGGAAAAGTGGCTCCTCTCCCAGGCTCCAGATAACGCAGATAGAAAAACAAGAGGCTTCAACGCACTTTTCAAAAAAACAGGTCAACAAGCCAGTTTTGAAACTCCAGACGCCTTCAAATGCCATTTCTCCTGATAACCTTGTCCATGTGCCAACTCTGTTCTTATAATCAGAACTTCACCTGCATGTATCAATCCTCCCCACTCTGGACAAAAATGACACAAATATGTATCTACAATGATTTCTTTAAAAATATCTATCCAGGAGTTCAGCCTGCTATTTTTCCTTTCGAATTGGCAGCCCAGTTCCTTTTCATTCACAATGGTGAATCTAATCACCGCTCTCCAGCCAAGAGGCAGAAGCATGGTAAGCACTTTCTTGAGCAACTGCCCTTTGCCAACTCCACTCATCCCTGGACTGCCCCGCCTTCTCCATTCCTTCTCTAAGCCATGCTGCACAGGCCCATCCAGGTTGATGTTGACTCCTGCCAGATGAGGATCAGGGCTGTGTCTACCCAAATCTGCTTAAGCCCATTGCTCTTATTGCTAGCCCACGGTTTGGTCAAAGAGCTCAAAAATATATGTGTAAAGAAAAAGAGTTAGTGGTGAGAAGGGATAATGGTAATGATTTGAAGGTTAAAAAACAAACTGCTGCCTAATTAGGTGTGGATAAGACAACTAAAAGAGATTGGGGGTGGCAGACTATAGAACTTTAGAAGAATTATGTATTCCAATTGCTTCACTTATGTTGTTAAATTATCAATCCTCTTTAAAGAAACCAATGGGATTATAGAAGATGCATTATGGATGCAGAGAGGATGGAACCCAAACCAGCAAACCCATATTTAGGGAAAATGCCTTGGCCTTGTGAGGTTGTGTTGACAAATGGCAAATGAATATACATTTTTATATTTTAAGATAAAATTAAATAAGATATATGTATATAATTTTTTAGGATTCTCTAGTTGATTCAACTGTTTCAAATAATCAGTCCATAGCTTCCAAATTCTCCTAACAATTGTCTGGGGTTTTTTTTCGGGGCGGGGGTGGGTGGAAGGTGTGTATTCGTGTGTGTGTGCACAGCTTTGCAATACTGTAGAATCAATCTATTAATCAATCAATAAGAATATAACATATTATATATATATGCATACACAATATGTTATATTTTTAATGACCAACAAATTGTTTGAGTCTATAGTATTACAAAGCTATTACTATGGTCTTACCTCAATCTGTCCCTGTGATTTAATGGTTTTTGTTTATTTGGGACTTTTGTTTATTTTGTTTTTAGTTTTCAGTGGAATTAGAGAATAGTTACCCATTGGCATTTATTACAACATCCATTAGAAGTAAAAGGGGCAGATTTTATATTATACAGTGGCAATGGCCCAATATCTGCAATATTACAAGTAAATTGAAACAATTGGGAAATGAATTTTTGATGATATAATTTTTAAAATATGGATTAAAAGGCCAAACTTTATCTTTTTTTTACATAAATATCATAGGCTACATAATTATTTTTCCTTTTTCCTACTTGAAGCAAGCCCAGAATGAAGCCTAGCGTTGAAATGGCAGTGAGCGGACAGGAGACTGGCGCTGCAGGTGGTGGTGAAGTTCCAGCTCACCTAGGCGAGGAGCCTAACAGCCCTGCAATCACTCCTCTCCTTCAGCAATCCATGCTCGCTCTCCCTACAGCCAACAGGCAGGTGAGAGTGGGCCCTATTTCCCAGAAATTTATTAATAATTTTCCTTATCTTGATTTGCATTTCTTAAAACATTATTACAACATTAAAGGAAAAATCTTCTTCTATGCCAGAACCATTTTCAATTCTTCTTCCCTTCTAGTCTTTGATCGCACACACGGAGACATATTTCACATGACTGCATCCTAGTGTATGCAACTTTGTGTTCTGATCTGTTCATTTATTTTGCAAAAAAATCTTTTCATACTTCCATATTCATTTACTTATTCAGCAAGCATTTACTAAAGTATGTATTAAGTTTCAGGCACTATTCCAGGTACCACGAATATAAAGATAGATAAAAAGCAGATCCCTGCTGTTGAAAAGCTCTCAGGTTAGCAGAATATAACAGATAATTACAATGCACAGCATTGTAACAAATACAGATTTAAAGGCCTCTGTGTTTACCATCTTAATGGCTTCACAATCTTCTATCCAGATAATCTAACTTAATTCTCATAACTATTCCTTTTCTTCATTATTTTTCATTATCACAAGCACTGCCACAATTAACACATTTCACTTTTTTTTTCTGTTAAACATTTTCTGTGGATAAATTCCTAGGCATGAGATTACTGGGTCAAAGGGTGCTAATTCAGATTTTTATAGCTCTTGACGTACCTTGCTAAACGGCTTCATATTAGGATCATAAAGATATACAAAGTCATCACTTCTTCTGAGCATTGCCAACAGTCCTACTATTAAACATTTTCTCAGGATTTTCAAAAGCAGGAACCCATTATTGTCTTAATTTGTATTTATTTAACTAATAGCAGGGCAGAACATTTTCTCAGGGTTAAGATTTTTATTTCCCCTTGTGGGATTTGTGTTTATGACAGATTTATCTATTATTTATCATTGTTATGGTAGCTTCCTAATATATTTTCATATGTTATACATATAATAACTATTCATCAAAACTTATTGCAAATTTTTTTCCTGTTTGTTGTTCTCTGTTTAGCTAAACTCACTTCAAATGATACCAAAATCTTAACTCTTTTTATTAGTCACAATAGTTTGTTTTTTCCTCTGGAATTTCTTCCATGGTTTCAGTCTTAAGAAATTTGTCCTCCTACCATTGGCATAAATGTTCTACTCTGTTGTCCATTCATTTTTCACTCATTCAACTCACAACAAATGTCTCTATGTCTCCCGCTTGGCACCAGGGATAAAAAATGATGAATGAATATTAATACAAAGTACCCCAAACTTGGAAATAGCCAAAAGGGTTACTGCATGTCCTCCCAGCGCCACGCTGGGAACCCCATTAACTGCTCCTCTAGGAACATGTATCTGTTTGACATATTAACTATTTATGAGGTTAGTTTACAACTCTGTTAGTGCGGATGTTAGCTGCTAGAATCCTGAAAGTGACGCAAATGATTCTTATCAGATAGCAATGAAAATAAATTTTGACCAGCAGAGACAAAATAACCTCAAAGGTTACAGTTTTATCGCCCTGTAGGACACTACATAGTTTTACATTGAACTTAGCAATCTTAATCAAGTATTTTCTCTTTCGGTCATATAAATACTTTGCTCTTTCACAATCCTCTTTGAGCCAGCCTTGCCACCTTGCAGATCCCCTCATTAATGAGTTGAATAAAGCCTTGACGTATGTTCACTTTATGTTTGTATGAAAGGCAGGAGACCTGGCTGCTAGCATCAGCCCTGCCACTTCCACTCACATCATATTTCACTTACTCTCCTCCTTGACTTCTAGTGTCTTCTTTCGTAAGTCATGGGTTTCTGTAAGGTCAAATGGTATTCAGGAAATCAAAGCAACTGGAAAATGATCTTTCTATATATGGATACATGTGTTGAACCAGCGTGAGCGATCAGGTTCTAAGTCTGAAGCCCAGGATCCCCCAGGCCTGAGGGAGTGGAGCCTGGGAGCCCTGCCAGTGTCTGGTATGACACTTCACCAGCAGGGCTGCCTTTGAGTAGCCAGGACCAAGCAGGAACAAGGGAATGCGGTGCAGTGGAAAGAACAAGGGTCTCCAGCCAGGTGGACCTGGCTTCAGCCCTCAGCCCTGCCTCTTCTAGGGTCTCTTGAGCCCCTTTCCTCATATACAAAATAAAGTGGTTGTGATGAGTCAATGGGCCAGTGCCTAAAGAACCTTGTCACATCTGTCACATACTAGGCCTGCTATAAATGTCACTTCTTTTCCTTCCCTCTGAATCCACAGTATCCCCCACAATGAATACTGAATCCATCCTCTAGAGATGGATCAGGGTCACTCTGGATACCCAGAGTCTACTAGCAATTGAAGAAGAGGAGAAAAGCTATGGCATTGGGTTGGAATTTCAGAGGTACCTACTATGCTGTGTTAGAATAACAATGGTTTTAAATGGCCCCACATCTGCCCCCAATGGGCTTGGTGGCAGTCCTCCCTGAGAACCTATTTCCTCTGAGAAGAGACTCAACTAGATGATGTTTAAGGTCTCTTTGAGTTCTAACATCCACCACGACAAGGTCAACCATGTGTGGGTTCTGATAGCCCACGTGAGGCCACCATACCTACCCGCCTGGCACACTTACCTCTCCTACCACCTCTATGATGTCGCCAACTTTCAGCTCAAGCTCGTCATCATTCTGGGGCAGGTAGCTGAACGCCACCTGGCACCGGCGCCTCCGTCGCTCGCCTAGATGGGAAAAGAGAAATATTTAGATACAGCCCTTCTCTCAAAATTAGATTTTAAAGAGAGGCTTCCTAGGCATGCAGGCAAATTAAGCTGACTTGTCTCAAATATGCTCTCTGGGACATGGCTAGAGGCACGGCAGCCCTGGTCTCTTATAGAGAGGCAGTAGAAAGCAGAGCAATGCTTCTTGGTCTTTTAAAAGCTGCTGGGTCAGAAAGGCATGAATATGAGAAACCGATCCGTTGGTGCAGAAGGCAAAACACCCCACCCCTGAAGCGCTGGAGCACAGTGTTGCCTTAAACGGTTTTCCATGGATGGGGTTTTGTATTTGCTGCTGTTGATTTTTAATGAAAGCTGATACGATGTGGTAGAGTCAAAAGAATGGTCTGCTTCTAATGCTAGCAAGACAGAGGAAATCTTCCCCAAATGTGAAAAGGAAAAGATAAAGTATCCTGGCCTTTTTCTTACTAATCGTCACCCTTTCAACATGCTGGAATTCAGGTCTGATAAGCAAAGGCTGATTAGATTTCAGCCTGCTCTTGCTGCCATTTCAAACGCCCGGCAGGAGTTCAACAAATCCACTTCTGTCCTCTTTCCTCTGTCCCAGGGGATCCATCAGCAGGATCCCTGGCTGCTTACACAGAACCAACCCAGGCAAATCAAGATAAAAAGCCAGGGCCACACTTCACTTCACCGGAGGACACTCAAGGTTAACAGCATCTCACTTACCCAGTGTAGCCCAACTGGGAGGCCTCGACTTAGAGCTGGTTCAAGTACAGATGCAATTATCCACACCACAGACATGCATTGTGGGGAAAACATGCATGTGGTATGTATGATGGTATGTGTAGGGAGGGGGGGAGACAGACAGACAGAAGCAGCAGAGGCCCAAGCCAGGGAGACATGGATAGGAGAGAGGAACTGAGATCAGCATTGCCCAGAAGTTTGCTGCTCAAGGCTGACCACCTCACATCATTCCTTCCTGCCACCACATGGCCTAGAAAACCAAAGGGATCAACGGCCTCAAGGAAACACATTTAGAAATGCTTACATTATTTTTGGATACTGCCTACAGGGATTCTTTTCCTTTTCTAATCTTTTCCCTGAGAAAGCAAGTTCCTGCAGGAGTGATCACAGGCCACACTGAGGCCCCCACGCAGCATGACATCATACAAAGGGGATGGCCTTGGCTACATCTGATGTGCTCACTGATCAATATTTTTCAAAAGCCAGTGGCCTAGTTCTCTCTGTTCCATTTTTCTCTGCCTGAACCTCACTAAAGAAGAACAGAGTTGAACAGAGGGAAGAGGGCAGAAGTTCAGAATGAATATCTTGTCTAATCACATCTTTGGCGACTACACAAATACACTCCACCCCTTTGCGCAAAATCACAAGCCACCTGGTCTTGAGGACAAATGCAGGGCCCTGAGACCAATTCCCAGGTGCTAACTGCACTGTCAGCAGGCAGAAGAGGGCAACCTAAGGACGGCCTGGCTCTCCCAGGGACAGAGGGCCCACCCCACTGGCTTTCCCAGCTGAGAAGGCAGGAAGAGTGGTACTCCAGTGCAAAGAATGCTACCATTATTCCATGGCTTCCAACACAACAGAAGGCAAATCAAGCACCCTGCATCATAAAGGATACAGATTTCTCATTCTAGCTATGAAAGTCTAGATGGCGAGGTAATCTTGGCACCCATTTCCTGCTCCCTGTGACTCCTACCCCCATAGCCACCCCCTTAAGATGAAGTTCTATGATAAATCTTTAAGAGCTTTATTCGCTAGATGTTATGTTAAAAGCAAACTCTGCAGATACAAATCTAAACACGAAACAAGCAAACATGACAAATGTCTGAAACTCGACACTCACAGCCACAGGAGTCATCAAAGTCCTGACCAAAGTGACTTAAAAATAACATCCAAAGACCCAGTGTTAGCTGAAGCCATAAAACTTACAGTTCCACGTAAGTTCATACCTTCACAAAACCCTCTGTAGAAAGCAACATCTAACCCAACGCTACACAAATGGCAAAGGAGAGAGTGAAGAAAAGAGAGTCTTTCCTTCGAGAAAAGACTAACTCAACAGATTCAGGATCCGGAATAGAATCATCAGACTTCTCTTGAACCAACTCTCTGCATCGAACTTCTATAAAGCCCTATCTGGTATAAGGAAGAATGACACATTTACTAATCTCTGTCTGCCAGGCTAGTTAATATTTCTTAAAAGCCTCTAAGAAGGTTATTCAATTGGTGGCATAAAGTCCTATAAAGCACATTGTCAACATACAGGACCAAGAAAAATGAGCCCTATAGGTAGGTATCCAGAGGTTGTTGGTGGTAAAGGTCACCTGACCTGATCCCACGCAGAAACAGTTATTCCCCCTGGCACTGGGACAGCTTGTGGTCTTCCCTAAAGCGATTCTGATACCCAGCACCCTATCTCATCCCGCCAACCACAAGAGGGAAAAAGAAAGGGGGCCAGCCCAGTGGCGTAGTGGTTGAGTTCACACCCTCCACTTCAGCGGCTCAGGGTTCACTGGTTCGGATCCTGGGTGCAGACCTACACACCACACTTATCAAGCCATTCTGTGGTGGCATCCCACATATAAAGTAGAGGAGGATGGGCACAGATGTCAGCTCAGGGCCAATCTTCCTCAGAAAAAAAAGAAAAAAAGAAAAAGAAAGGAAGCCAGAATGAGCAACCATTTTGCAAATGAGGAAACTGGGGCTCAGTGACTTACCCAAGGTCACCAAGCTAGTAAGTGGCAGTAACTCCTTGGCCTGAGTTCAGAGCTCTCCCTCCAGTGCTGCAGGAACCAATTCAGTTCACATGTTGCTTCAAATTCTCTGCACTCTGTGCTTAACTGCTTCCTGCAACACTGCATAACACAGCCTTAGGCCTCCACCATGGCTTTCTCATTACAGATAACTTCCAAACTCCTGGACTGCTCCTTTTTTTTTTTCCAGGCCTCAACTTCTGCACATCACTATTCTAATCTTGTGTGCCAGTTCTACACACCTAAAACCCAGTTCAGGGGGGACGTTTGACGTTAGGAGACACTGCATTTCAGTTGCCTCCCTCCATCTTAAATTTAAGGGAGTTTAAGGATGTCGTTTGCCACTTTTTCCTCTCCTGCCATTTCACTGATGTTTGCTAGTCAGTCTTGACCTTCCTCGAAGAGGTATGTAGACAACAACGTCATCTCCTTTCGATAGCTGGTATAAACTGGATAAAAAACACGTATGATTTGCCCAAGGCCGTGGTTTGGAATCCCCTAGTTTGAGCTACCACCTTCACGCCCAGAGCCCAGGCCACATGGACTCAAGTTTTAACACATTTCATTGGGCTTTTTTTCTATGGAATAAACTGAGTTTGAAAGAAAAATTTTCCTTAAAAAATTAAATGTATTTGCTGATCATGGCCAACAATGTAAATCTATACTTGAACAACTAGAAAGAGGAGAAAACATGTTTTTCCTCCTTCATGTCAGGGCCATTGCCACCATCCTTTATCACTGCATGCGTTTTCTAGGCAGGACCACTTAACTCCTTACACATAACTGAAAGAAGTAAACACAAGTTTTATGGACATACATGCAAACGTATATGCACACGCAGCTTACCAAAAAAGGAAGAATAAGGCAGACTTCACAAGGCATACTTGATACGTCTCTGCTTTACTGCCATATTGCATGATGGCCACAACATACACATGCATGAACATGTGTTCATATGTAGGAACACAGGCCCACACACTCACAGATGGCAAGGCAGGCACATCCTCAACTCCCTCACTAGACCTCATAACCACCTTCCACTCAAGACCAGCTTTGTTTATTGAACTAGTAACAGCTAACATTTATTGAGTACTTACTGTGTGCCAGAGACTGCTAAGTACTTTATATGTATGACTCCATTTAATCCTCACACTGGAACCTCTGGGGTAGATCACTGACCCTCTTTTTACAGACAAGGAGACTGAGGAGGCATAGAGAGACCCAGTATTTTACCAGAGGTCTTACGGCTAGAAAAGGGAGGGCCTGGGATTTCAAGCCAGGAGATGCACCTCCAGAGACACTGCCTCCCATGTCTGACTGTTCCTAAGAATTCTTGGCGATGGATCTTGAGACTGCAAAAAGGACTCACTGGGCTAACATGGCACATGGTTAAAATGTGAAACCAGGAAGTGAAAAACCACAAATCAGGAGCATTTCCTTACAGCTGCTGGGAACTGGAGCCCATATTTGAATGAAATAAAACCAGCTGGATGGGGAGGAAATGCAGTACATTCACATTCTCTGAAAATTAAATAGCATAAACTGTAAAGGGTGCCATGACCCAGCCTCAGAAACAGCACACACGTCTACATTTTAGAGCCTTCTGGGGTCTCACAACATGTGAAAACCTTACTAGGCCAATTCATTCAGTGACCACAAAAACATAACAACAAATACTGCAGTGGCTGAAAAGAGTCTTTGGGTCAACTGAAAACCTTCAACACTCACACAGCCAATTTTTTCATATCTCACATTCCTATGACAGAACACGAGTACAACTACAAGAGTTTAAATCATTTGATATTTTCAAGGAACCCACTAAATCAATCAAATGGATCCTTACCACATTCAAGGAACATGGCAGTATCTCAAAATCATATTGCAAGAGAGAAAACACTGATAAAAGTCAAAGGGAAAATCAGAAGAAGCCTCTAATTTTGTTTCCAGAGTTACTTCTGGCATTTTCTCCAGATGTGGCCTGGGGACCACCTGTGTCAGAAGGTTGAAAACGCAGAACAGACCTATAGAACTACTCTCTGGGGTTGGCGCAGGGACCTGCATTTAAATCTGACCCCCCGAGTGACACGCCAACGAAAATCTAAACCTCAACGAGTCAGCGCAACTAATTATAGGTGACAATGGGAAAACGCTTTGTGGGAACAGGTGGTCTCCCTTTGGAGGACTCTCACCAGTGGTTCCCAGTCTTGGCTGCACATTGAAGTCACCTGG